CGACATCATCCATTCCATCTAAGCGGGACTGGATATCAATCAACAGCCCCAGGCCTGCCGGAACAGCCAGGCCTTGATGGCTTTACGGAGAGTGGGAAGGGTCCAGATCTCAACGGGTAGATTGTTCCACAGGGCCGGCGCAGCAACAGAGAAGGCCCTCCCCCGGGGAGCCGCCAGCCGTCATTGTCCGGTTGACGGCACCCGGAGGAGGCCCAACCTGTGCGATCTTGTTGGTCGTTGGGAGGTAAAGTGGCAGAAGGCGGTCTCTCAGCCAGGTCCTAAACCATGTAGGGCTTGGGGGGAAAGGCACTGAATATTCCCCACCTTGAGTTATTCAGTGCAACTTATTCCATCCCAACCCAGCCACACCCAGTGAGTGGTATTGAACTGACCATGCCCACCTGGCCACACCTACCCAATCTCTGTGAGTTGTCATAGACTTACATGCAACTGGCCCTTTGAGGGCAATCAAAATGCTGATGCGGCCGTCAATGAAATTGTTCTGACATAGGCGTCCTGAGACAGTAACAATCACACGCTTAGTCCCAAAAACCCTCTTTATTGAAACGGCTGTGAATTATGTTCATTCACAGCCCATAGTGATTCATAACCAATCTGTGAAGAATCCGACAGAAGTCTGCGACAGTCTTTCAGTGTAAGGCTTATAAGCACCCACCTTTATCTCCCATGAAATGCTGCCAAAGACCTAACTGCTGATTAGTTTTGCAAGGCCAAATGGAACACAGATTCAAACCGTGCTTCAGAGTTTAAACCGATCTCAACGAACAAAATTGCTTCCTGCAAAGGCTCACATCCGTTTGTTCCTCTTTTATGTCTTATGGGAGAGGCCAATCATCTCCAAGCCTTATTCCCAAGTCGCCCCTTTAGTCTTAACTGTTGTTGCCTTGTGGAAGATCTCTGCGCATGCACATATTGGGAGCAGGCTCCCCTTGTTCCTCTGCCTCGGTGATGGGAAACTCCGGAGGCAGCACATAACTCCCAGATGGCCATGGCCGCCTCCCTGTCTCCGACGCAGAGCCCTTGTCCAAGCCTTCCCCAGAGTCCACAATTGACCCATGTTCCTCCCCATCCTCCTCTCTGTTCTACTCTGCTGCAAGCTCCACAGGCCGCCGCCGGACCACAACAGAAATTGAGTTTGACATCCCTGCTTTGCACCATCCCCATGAACATGTGATTGTATCGTGTATGGGAAAAGCTTCATTCCTCTCACAAAATAAACCAGAATGAAGGGAAGCCCGTGAAATGCATATTCAAAAATCATTTTTCAAGTACTTTTTGCCTTTTTATTATATGACGAGGTTTAGGAAAAGGTTTAAATGTGAATTAAATTTAATTAAATATAACTGGTATGGTTCTTCATGAGACATTTTTAAATTCCATTTTGTTCTAACTAAAAATTAAAAATACATGAAACTTAGTGAAAGATTTGTGGGAGGAAATACTTAAGGCTTTCAGAGGACTTGGGTTCTTTGAAAATATTCATTCAAATATTGTTCATTGATGATTTTGCATCAAACAGGTGAAAAGGCACAGATTATGGTATCCTAATTATTATGTATTTTTTTCATAGGATTTATTGGGCACCGGTTTTAGTTCATAGAATATATCTACGAAAATAATTGGAAGGGATGTGTGTGTGTAAGGGGGGGGGGAGAGAGAGAAAAGAGTAAGAGAGAAAGAAAGAAAGAAAGAAAGGCAGTGGGAGAGATACACACAAGAAAGGAAAGAAGGAAGGAAGGGAGCGAGAGAGAAAAAGACAAAGAGAAAGAAAAAGAAGGAAACAAAGAAGGAAACAGAAAAAAAGGAAGAAAGAAAAAGAAGTGGGAGAGACAAAAGAAAGAAAGAAAGAAAGAGATAGAGAGAGACAAAATGAAGGAAGGAAGAAAAAGAAAAAGGGAGAAAGAGACAAAAGGAAGGAAGGAAGGAAAGAAAAAGAACTTATGACCACAATTGTGCCCAAAATGTTGATTGCTAAGCAAGAGCGTTGTTAAGTCAGTTTCACCACATTTTCCAANGAAGAAATCTCCTTTTATTTTTTTCCACTTTACAGGGCTAATCTTGTAAGGAAGGCAGGAAGGAAACATTCTGGTGTTGTTTCTAGCCTAATCTTGATTGCCCTGCTTACAGAAACTGCCTCTCCGGTTAACCCTTCTTACATTGTAACAGCGAAGCGCCCATCGATATGAGTGACATTGAGTTGGCCACACCCACACAGTCACATGACCACTGAGCCCCACCTACCCAGCTGGTCACTGGGCAGAGAACCGGTTGCTAAATTATTTGAATCCCATCACTGCATGCAACTGTTCCATACCAAGTTCCTGCAACTGCGATAGAGTGCTATCAAAGGTATTCAGACTCCCTTCGCCTTTGTCAGTTTTGTTATGCTGCAGCCTGATTGTATAGTTGTTGGAATTAATTTTTTTCTCATTAATCTAGACTCAGTACCCCATGATAACAAAGAGAAAAGAAAATTTTAGAAATGTCTGTACATTTATTAGTTTCTAGCCTGGTGTCTTAATCTTTGACCAAATTGACTTTATGAAAGAAGGAAAATTGTTGAAAGAAAGAAAGAAATCGAAAACTGCATAGCCTAGCTTTTTACAAAAAGGAAATTGTTTTTTTTTTTAAGTGTTCTGCTCATGAAATACAAAATGTTCATTTCATAGAAGATATTAACAAGACTTTGAGGAAGAGGCTAAATGTACTGAGTGTACATTCTGAATGTACTGAGCAAAGTTCTGGCTACCAGGATTCGGTATTCCTTCCTGAACCTGGTCACTGCATTCCTGTAACACTAAGCTGCTATAACCAAGACTGGAACATCCCGCTGAGAGGGATGTTCCCTTCTTAGAGATGTGCCCATCTGTGTGTTGAGTTTGGCATTAGCCCTAATTTAGGGTGGGGGGGTATTTCCATCCAGAAATTCCCTTTGACTTTTAAAGATTCTGCTCTGCAGATTAGTGGAGATGAGACTTTTATTGAAGTTGGGAGATGCTGGGTATCTTGCTGCCCCAGCATGACACAGTGTCCAATACACTTTGGGAGTTTGTGGCACCATGGAATTTTCCCAGGTCAAAGGTTAGATCAGGTCTGTGATCCAATCCTATTATATGGGGATCATTTCACTTGGAAATGGGTCTTTGCTGTAATCTTAGTTTGGACTCTCTATATTTGCAAACAAACCAGCTGAAATACATTGATGATTCTTTGGTTAAATTTCAGAAGAAAAATCTTGATTGTTCCCCTATTCTTGATACAGTTTTCCTTTTTGTTTTTCAAGGCTTTAATGGGCAAGAGAATAAGAATTGCAAGGAGGAAAACCAAGCAATCCATTTGAAAGGGTGGAAAAAGGAAATTTGTAGATCAGATGAAACCAAAGAATGATGAAACAAAGGAATCACAAAATGGAATTAAAAAAAGTCTTCCTTGGGTCAGTTGGCTTCCTAACTATATAGTGATTGATACTGGAGAAAGACCATATAAATCCATGGTGTGTGGAAAGATTATTAAATCCAATCATCTAATTTGTCATAAAAAGGCACATTCAGAAGAGAAACGATTTACCTGCATGGAGTGTGGAAAGACCTTTACTCGTAGCAGTACTCTTAATTTCCACAAGGGGATCCACACAGGAGAGAAGCCCTATCAATGCATGGAGTGTGGAAAGGGTTTTAGGAAGAGAAGTGCTCTGATTCGACATAAAACTATCCATACAGAAGAGAAGCCATATCAATGCATGGAGTGTGGAAAGACCTTTACTCATAGTAGTAGTCTTAATAACCACAAGAAGATCCACACAGGAGAGAAGCCATATCAATGCATGGAGTGTGGAAAGACCTTTACTTGTTTCAGGAGCTTTAATCCCCATAAGAGGATTCACACAGGAGATAGACCTTATAAATGCATGGAATGTGGAAAGACTTTTATTTATAGCAGTCATCTTAATTCCCACAGGAGCAGCCACACAGGAGAGAAGCCATATAAATGTGTGGAATGTGGAAAGAGCTTTATATGGAATTCTGCTCTTACCACCCATAAAAGAATCCACACAGGAGAAAAACCATATCAATGCATGGAATGTGGAAAGAGCTATGCTCGTAGTAGTGGTCTTAATTCCCATAAGAGGATCCACACAGGAGAAAGACCTTATCAATGCATGGAGTGTGGAAAGACCTTTACTCGTAGTTATAATCTTAATTCCCACAAGATGATCCACACAGGAGAAAGACCTTATAAATGCATGGAGTGTGGAAAGAGTTTTATTTGTAAGAGTTATCTTCATCGCCACAAGAAGAGCCACACAGAAAAGAAGTCATATAAATGTGTGTAATCTGGAGAGGGCTTTAGAAAAAGTTGCAATCTCACTTTCCATAAAAGGATCCATACGGGAGGGGGGGGAAAGCATATGAATGCATGGAGTGAGGAAAGAGCTTTGCAAGGAGTAATGCTTTTACTCGCCATAGAAGCATCCACACACAGGAGAAATAATATGAATAAAGGAATTCTGGGAAGAGTTTCAATAGAAATCCAAGTAGTTCTCGCCTTATGAGTGTAATTGAGCGCAAAATTTCTGTTGCTAAGTGAGATCGTTATTAAAATGTGTTTTGCCCCATTTTATGAGTTTTCTTGCCACATTTCTTGAGTGAATTCTTGAGGCCCTTCTTCTGGGTCCCAACAGGTGTATCGCCCTAGGGGATGGGACCCACAACATTCCCTGCCTGTCTGCCTGCGCTGATGGGTGGGTAGATGTGACTGGGAAGAAACTCTCCCTGGGAAAACCTGGTATTAAACCATGAAGGGCTTTAAAGGTGACAACTAGCATCTTGAATTGCAGCTGGAAGTAAATCGGCAGCCAATCACCGAGAAGTGATATATATGCACAACGAGATTTGTAGAAAACCATATGGGTCGCTGCATTTTGCACCAACTGGAGCTTCCGGATGCTCTTCCGGTGCAGCCCTATGTAGAGCCTGTTGAAATAGTCACGACGGGAAGTGACTAAGGCATGAATGACTGTGAGTAGGGATTGTTGGTCCAGGAAAGGGCGTAACATTTGCACAATCCACAGTTGTACAAAGGTCCTCCTCGCCACGACCGCCACCTGCTCTTTGAGCAGGAGTTGTGAGTCCAGGAGCTCCCCCAGATTACGCACAGGGTCTGTGAAGTAGTGTCACCCCATCCAAGACCAGAGGTGGCAATTCTCCCTGAGGCAACGAACCCCAAACCCGGAGCCGCTCGGTCTTGCCAGGGTTTAGTTTCAACCCGTTGCTCCCCAGTCCCATCTACCCCTTACAGCTCCAGGCACTGTGAGAGGGAGGACACAGATTCGCTTAACTCACCATGGTCGGTTCTACCTTTTCCATCGCTGCTTGTCTGAGGAAGGCTCAAGGGAGAGGTCTCATTTCAGTATCCAGATTGTTGGCTGTCACAAACTCTTGCAGTTTGTGAGAGCTAAATTCTGTTTCTTTAGTTTAGCATGGGTGTCAAACTTGATTGCGTCATGTGACATACTGTGATGTATTGTGATGTTTTTTACCTTTACGGAGCCGGGGTGGGTGTGACCTGTGCATGACATATCTGGCTTGTGCACTGCCAGATTGATAGGCCTGTCCTAGGGTCTTAGTTCCACCCATCACCCTCATACAAATGGAGTCTGTGAACATCCAAATGCAGTCCTGGAGGACTCCCTTTGATGCCATGTGAATCACCAGGAAATCATGTGAACTTTTACCTTTCGTTGAGGTGGCACACAATAACTCTGTACACAGCAGCATCGATTTACCCCCTTTCCAGAGGCCACTGGTGCGAAGTTCATGCTTATGCCAGAACTCCCTGAAGGGGAGCTCTTTGTCAGCCTCATCGGCTGAGTGGATAAATACTTTAAAAGCCACCCAGCTCCTGCTGTGCAAGGCTTTAGAATAAGCAAGCGAAGCGCAAAAGAGGTCACCCCAGAAATAGTTTACAATAGGGGATGAGATGTACTTGTCCACAAAGCTCCTAAAATTGGGGTTCCCCTGCAAGAAGTTGAATCTTAAGTATATACTGTAGGCCCTTTTCCTATCATCCGTATTGTGAATTCAAGAACGGTAGAATTGAAGTCGGCCAAAAATCTCTCGCGCATTCACCCATTATTTCACTGTAGTTTGTTAAAGCAGTTATATTTGAGTGGCAGGTATGCACGAACACACGCAACTCCATTTGCCTGAGTTGCAGGTGTGCTCAATTTATGCATCCGCCACTTACGCAAATAGAGCTGCACGCAATTGTGCCCACCTGCCACCCACACAAAACTATCCCCTCTTCCCCCTCCCCTACAATAGCAATAGCACTTAGACTTATATACTGCTTCATAGGGCTTTACAGCCCTCTCTAAGCAGTTTACAGAGTCAGCATATTTCCCCCAACAATCTGGGTCCTCATTTTACCGACCTCGGAAGGATGGAAGGCTGAGTCAACCCTGAGCCCAGTGAGATTTGAGATTTGAATTGCCGAATTGTGGTCAGCCGGCAGCCTGCAGAACTAGCCTGCAGTACTGCATTCTAACCACTGCACCACCAGAGCTTGATAGAGTTTAGTTACAGATTCTTTCTTGCTCTCTCTGCGAAGTTAGGGATACTCAGAATAAGAGTGAAAGAGCTTTAGTTTATTGATAACCAAAATAAATAAATAAACCTAATAAAATAATATGAAATTAAGAACTATTTCAGAAAATAACTTCAGTTTTTCCAACAGATAGACAGACAGGTGAGGAGAACTAGCTCTGGGATATGTGGATCCTCATACTTGCAAATCATGGACACTTAACCTGGTGAAAGGCCTCTTATTATGTGAGAAATTTGTCACATATATATATCAATGTATCCTGTACGAAAAAAAATTCAGGTTGAAGAATTCCTCTCACAAAATAAGCCAGAATGAGGGGAAACCGAAATGCATGTTCAAAAAAACCTTTTCACAAGATCACAGATGTTTCTTAAGAGATTAAACAGAGGGAAATCTGGAAATTGATGCTTGCGCTTCCTTTCTAGATAGGCAGGGTCTTCGCGCAATACGTATAGGATCCTCTAGGGGGCTCCGTGGAAGAGCCGGACAACTCCTTCTCTTGTAAGGCGGGGAGAACTGAGCATGCGCGGTCTCTTTCCCAAGTCAAGGGTGATGATTGCTTCCGAGGCATTTTCCAGCAAAGGCTTGAAAGGTTGTCCGCTCTTTCTACGGTGTCCGGGTGAGCCTGTCTAGCAAGCGAAGAAGCTGCAGGGAAGTCTTGGACATGGAGATCCAGACATGGGTCGGGGTTCAGTAACTGGGTGTGTGTGTGATTTTTCTCTCGTGCTGGAGGCTGGCATTCATCAGACTTGGAGTCGTGGAAAGGGGGAGGGGGAGCCAGTGGTCCCATGTTCCCCTGCCGTCCCTGTGCATGCAATGGCCAGGCATGGGAGAAAGCAAAGCTTCCCGCCCTTCACTTTGCCCCCAGCGGGGTAAAAAAACGGGGGTCGCAAAAAGAGGATTTGCGCTCCATTTCGACGGGAAAAGCTTTGCATGGAGGGAGAGGAGGAGAGGTCGTCTTTGCAAAAGAGAGATTTTTGCCTCCAAGTCAACCTTGACTCCTGGACAGTTTCCTGCATATTTCTTGGCCCCATTTTCAGAAGGGGTTTCCCCCTCCTCCCCCTTCCTAGGCCGAGAGAAGCGAGTGGTCGGAACCCCTCCTGCTGGCTTTGCATAAAAAGCTTCAACTGCATGTGGAAGGAGTTTGTGCAAAATGTGCAAGGACTCGTTCTTAACTATGCAGCCATAGGAATGATATTAAATTGTCTTTTAAATTAAATTATATTAAATTATGATTGGCCAGAGGGAGCCATTTGGCTGAGTGATGAAATCACAAGCTTGAAACCGGGAGATTCAGTTTCTACTCCAACTTTTGACATGTAAGCCTTGAGCCCATCCTGACTCTCGGCCCAATCTACTTCACTGGGCTGTAGTTTTGGGGAAAATAGTGAGAAGGAGCATTATGTATGATTTCTGCCTAGAGTAATTTATACAAATAATAACAAGGCATAAGGAAAAAAGTAAATTTTTAATAAAAGCTAGGTAGTAGAAATGAAAAAACACATTTAAATGTATTTTCCAATATTTTGATAAACATTGATCCTGAAGTGTTCACTGCAATTTTCTCCATATATGAAGAGAGCAAGATTTCACCTCCCACCTTGGTGAGTACATACAAATTTCTTACTTAATCTTATCTTCCCTTTTCCCCATTTTTCCATATCAGATACGTACGCTCAAAATATTTTCTGCTTCTTCTGGAATCTTAAGTATCTTGTCCGGGAAGAGAGCTGAATGGCCTTGGAAAATTTGGCCAGACCTCTTGTGAACAGAAAATCCTGTGGAGATCCTTGGGTCCATTTTGGAGCTGGATTAGAGACCAGAGAGAAGATGGAGGGACAACACCCAGCAGAAGCAGAAATTAGAAAAGGCCCTCCAGCTGCTCAGCCTTGGGGCTGTGGGAAGAATGGGGCAAGTCCTGAGCAGAAGAGCCACGAAGAGGCATCCAATAATTCAGAGGTTCAGTGCTGTCACTTCAGAAATGTATGGTTTCAGGAGTGGAGCCGTCCCCGAGATGTTTGCACTCAGCTTCACTACCTTTGTCGTCAGTGGCTACAACCAGAAAAACACACAAAGGCTCAGATGTTGGACCTGGTGCTCCTGGAACAGTTGCTGGCTGTCCTTCCCCCAGAGATGGCAAAATGGGTGCGGGAGTGTGGAGCAGAGACCAGTTCCCAGGCAGTGGCCCTGGCTGAAGGCTTCTTGCTGACTCAGGAGGAGGAAAATATGCAAGAAGAGTTGCAGGTGGGAGAATAGAATCATGGCAGTTCTAAAGAGGATCTCTTTGAATTTGTCAATTCCTTTCTGGCAGAGTTTTCTGGGATTATTAACTCCTAAGGGCATTTTTATGTTCTTGCAGAGGATGTATTTGGGGCATTTCTTCCATTCCGCTTCCAGTTTCAGCAATGGACATTGGGGTCTGCTACTTTGAAGGTGGGGTATGATAATTCATTTGTATCTTTGTGCTCTTCTTTTGTTTCTCGTACCACATCATGTGTAGAAATCCGTGGAAGCTGTGACTGAGTATCCTAAGGAGAGAAAAGATTTGTTCAGATCTCCTGGACAGCTTCTCTTCAGGGAGAACTTCCAGAACGATCAGAGTCAAGACATTACACAAGGTAAGTAAAGCTCTTTCTGTGTATTGTGAGATTTCAACATTTAGATGATTCTTTCACTCT